AAATTACTGCTGTTAAACGAGTGGATGGGTTTTACTTTTGCAGACTGACATTATTAAAGCCATCGCCCGTCTGATTGAATTCTACAAGCATGAGAGTTGTGGCCAGTGCACACCGTGCAGAGAGGGTAAATGCCACTTCAGTTCAGTTCTGCACACCTTAATATTTCTCCACCATCTTCATTAAATTAAAACGTGTGAGTTTTTTCTTGTTGTGTTTTTCTGCAGGAGTGGACTGGATGAATAAGATGATGTGGCGTTTTGCGAGTGGTGATGCACGTTCAGCAGAGATAGACATGATTTGGGAGATCAGCAAGCAGATTGAGGGGCACAGTATCTGTGCACTGGGCGACGGTGCGGCGTGGCCTGTGCAGGTAAATGCATCTCATGTCTTCATGGAACTATTAATGGGAAACTCAATACTTCAGAATGCATTAGGTACACTTACTGTGTGTGACATGTAACTAATGCAGGGACGATAATGTTACAGATTGAAGAATACAGCATTACACTCATAGGTGTTTGTAAAGCCTCACCCATGTGTAGAAACCCCATGGCGACCAGAGGTTGCCAAGGGGTTCGCGTTGCACTCTTCACAATTGATTAGCGAGTAGCTTGATTACATGTTGTATTATTTGTAAAGCTCCCTGTTTGTTTTCTGCCTCAAGTCCAGCAGGATAACTGACCAAAACCCCTCTCTTCTCTCATCTGTGTTCCCAGGGATTGATCAGGCACTTCCGACCTGTCATGGAAAGCCGAATTGCTGAATTCCAGCAGCAGAAGCAGGCAAGGGTTTGAACGGCTTCTTCAAGTCCTTGATCTAATTTTCCTTCGCCCAGAACCCTGTGTTTGTCTTTCACAGATTATTTAAAGAAAAGAGAATGTGCCGTCTTATCAACTCTTCATCAAGCGTTGCATTGATGTGTCTGCCTTGTGAAACAATATTACCAATAAAGTTCTATGATACTTTAATAAAGACTTATTCTTTTTCTTGTGGTTCTTTTTTCTTGTTTTCAATCTCTTGTGTTTTTACTTGTAGGGGAAAAAGATCTTATTAATTACAATAATTACCTGAAGTCTTTATTATTATTATTATTATTATTACTGAGTCTGTTATTTAAACAGGTAGTCTCATTGAGACCAAGAGTTCTATTTACATGCAGTGAAAGTATTTAAACCTAGTTTTTATAA